GCCCGTTTGTACAGGCAGACTGTATGTGCCAGCCACGAGTGGGCCGAAGTGCCCCCTGGTGGGGGCCCCATGCACACACCCCGCAGAGGGGTCCTTGTGCAGGCTTCGTCTCGGCGGATGGGGGCCCCGAGGTGCATGTAGTCCTGCCCTACCGTATCCATTCTACCTCATCCCATAGCCCTAAAATGATCATGATTGGCTGAAATGGCTGTGATCAAAATAACCGACCAGCTTTGTGGGCCTTTCGTCTTGGTTAACCAGAACTGAGGAGGAAGTTGGGATGTAATACCGCGGCATTGGATGTAATACTTAACAAAACTTTGATATGATTCATCCATGTTACCTGCCTGTTGTATGCCCCGTGCATCCTTTTTGCATGTATCGAGATTTATCAAATACTGTTATTCTCATTTTCATTGCACGCGACACCGATCGTAGGGCGTTGCCAGAACGCTCGCCAAATACAATATTTCGCCCAAGCCATGACGCTTGACACTGCAACGCAAGTGGCACAGTTGATTATGACCAACCGCATTGCGTTAACCTTGCCAAGCCAGACCATGAAATGGCCTCATGACATGCAACAAATGCACAGGACCACACGATAAGTGCTACGACCCTGGTCCTTACACGAAATATTAATGGGAAAGGTGGTTATTTCACCATAATGAAAACGTGGGCACGAAGAGGAACCGTGCCGTGGAACCATGCAATATACGTTGGCTGAAGGCGAGGAAATAAGCCTACCGGTCTAAGCGCCGCTTAGACCCCAGACCGCTGCGTTCTGCGCAGGATGGCGGCAGTACCTAACGACGACAGGCGTGATTTGAGCCTGACGCGGTTGCATCAGCTCTACTTGCAACTGAGTAGAATTACTTCTATTAAGAGCTCTCATGGACTACAGAGCACCAACGCATGAACATCAACCTGATTCCTCAATATCGATTGCGACACGAATGAACGAGCATTAGAAGACCGACTGCGCTGTAAGTGGTAAAGCCAAGCCAAGTCTGCGCCCCACGCTGACGAATGCATAGCGTCATCATAGCGACGAACTTCTATGGCTTCGGCTGGTACTGGCACGCAGGAGGCAGGCTCATGTTAATGGTGCAGTTGCAGCTCCCCCAGGTGCCCGTGTCGTCCATGGCAGCGCAGGCGCCCACGCTCGCTGGGTGGTCGGCGGCCCAGTGTGTGGAGTCGTCCGGTGGGGTGCCGTCGACCCAGAGCCAGGTGCCGTTCTCACCGGCCTGCTCCGGTCCGGTCCAAGGCCCGCCCTACTTCAGCTCAATGACCAGTTAGAAAGCGAGGTCGTCGATGACGGAGCTGTTGGAACCGCCAGCTGGGCGTCGGCCCGGACGCCGCTACAGACCTTGCTGGTGGTGTTCCGGTCCATCGCCATAACGTATTTGAGCACGAAGTAGCAAAAGCTGACGGACAGATGTTGTTGTTGTTGTTAGTTGTTGGGACACAGCTCACTGTTGGGACATAGCTCACCGGAGCTGCCCCCTGACACCGCCAGGCGCAGAAGCGCAGGGAGGAAGAGAGCGAGGCACACTACTGAGGCAGCGTCCCCCGGGTGTATGTTTAACGACGCGCGGACAGACACGGGGCAGCCGCGTCAGTGCGAGCGGGGAGCGCGGCGACGCGGACCCCCGCAGACACTTGCAAGGAACGGCAGCTGGCCAGTCGCCTCATCACAGGCGCGTTATCTGCCGTGGGCCGGTACGTGCTGAAGTGGATAGAGAGTGCGCTGGCGGGTACGACGCGGAGGGTATGGTATGAGCGCAGCTTGACTCGGTTCGAGTAGATTCAAGCGCTTACAGAGGTGGCGTCAGTAGATTTTTAATTTTAGTCATTTTGTCGCAAATAGAGTCAGCAAAGGAAAGTCGTGTTGTTTCTTTTTGCTGCGAAAGAAACTCCCTGCACTGCTATTAAAAAGTACAGCCGAGCTGCGAATGGATGAACACATGCCGTTCAGGACCGTCCGCTTCAGGTCTGTCGACATCAGCCTCCGAGTGAAGCCAAGCTCTTCATTACTTGACGTTACTTGACAGACGCCGCATCGGGTCAGCTTCATCGCCCCTGTGCTGCCATACTTGCCAGTGTCCTATCTGACCCCTTTAGTAAGTATCGCACCGCGGTATACCCCGCCTGTAAATTGGACGGTGGTCAAGTGCTGCCCCTCGCCAGTGCCGGTCCTGCCCCTGGCGGCGACAGGGGAAAGCTCCGCATGACTCGTCCCATTGACTGGCGCCTCCTCGACGGCTTCTGCTACCTCGTGTCCAGACACGTGCTGACGTCCGACTGAGGAACTGCGACGGCATCTGCGACGGCATGCAGTCCGGGGCGACGCTGGTGACCATCCACACAGACACCATCAACGACATCATCACCAGCTTGGTCGTCGAGCTAGGCTGGGAGGGCGTCTGATTAGGGCTGAACAGACCGGATGACGGCCAGGCTTGGTGCTAAACTGACGGTACCGCACTGGTGGGTCCCAGCCAGTGGGCCGCCGGCCAGCCTGTGGCGGCAGGAGAGCGCGCTTCTGCGGACAGCGCGGAGAGCCGGCAGAGCTGCAACTGCACCGGCCCGACAAGCCCGCCTCCGGCGCGTCAGTGCCAGCTGAAGTCACAAAATACCGACACCTGAATGGATGGGTCCCCCGGCCGGAAACGGAAGAATTCGTTTTGCCTCGGTCACTCCGGCGGCCGAATCGCTTTTATGTGCAAGGAGCATCGCTCCATTTTCAAGTGTCGTGCCTGCGTGAGCTGTGGTATTTGTTCGCACTATGCATTGGCTCTATCGGCAGAGTTATTACATACAGAACGCTCCGACCAACTACTCATGCAACCAAGGTGGGTGCTGTCGATTCGTCAGGACGGGGATAAATTAGTGCTGAGCATGCAGCAGCGTGCGCAGCCACACCCGCAATCGCCAGCTCGAAGAAGGGGGTCACACATACGCCTCGCCGCGCATCTAGCACCCCACTACATCCTACACTGAGCGACGCCGAACGAAACGCATTCCCGCATATTGGGCGCGACTCGCTGTTAATCCCGCGAGGCCGCCAACTTAAAACCGTGTGAATGCTGCGTGAGCTGTATGTCGGCTCAGGACTACGTGACCCCGATCTCCAATATCCCCCTGCATTGTACCAGCGCTCATGCGCGAGGACTAGGCAGGCCCTCGTGGGCAAGGCGGTGTGCGATGAACAAGACCTGACAGCATAGACTGGGTCGTCTGCTTTTGAGCTCGGAGTTCGTTACTGCGTGGACCAGTGCAACTGCTGTGTGCTCTGCACGCGTGGCAACATCAGCACGACTTGAGGACGAGCATGCAACCCCTTAAAACTACCTGATCGTACTGTCTGCCGCATTTATTTCCTATACCTACAGACAAGCGATTCGGCGTGTCCCCAAAACACGATTATCTACATATCCGGCTAGCCGCGCACGAGCCACGCGGAAGAAGCGACTGCGATGCTACCAACGATACTAATTACATTGCATTGCATCGCCGTGGTAAGACGTCGCTGTCAGGTTCACTCTGGTCGAGGGCATCCTTCCCGTCCGAAAGGAGCGCTGACGCACACAGACCATCGACCCGTCGTGGTCGCGGCGGGCCGCCCGGCAACCCGGGCCGCATGTGTTTCGGTCACGTGTCCCGTCATCGGACACATTTTCAAAGGCAAGTTTGGACCACTCAGACGTGCCCAGCGCGTTCGCCACGACCGCTGATGCAGTGCCGGAGAATGGCTAGGGCTCAACGCTTTTAACATGACTCATCCAAACAAGACCATGCGACCGCCTCTCTGCTCCAGCTCATCTGACAATCCGGCCACGTTCGGGCGCCAGCACTCCGGTCATTGACGTGCAGCGACATCTCGCGGCTGCACTCCCGCCGAGCAGGAGCGCGTCGCGCCGCCCCGTGCGGGCCAGCCGGCGCGGCTCCAGCCCGCCACGTGCGCCGGCGGCGGAGCGGGGGCCAGCCGGACAGACGGCGGGCGGCGGGTTCAGGGGGAGGTCGGAGCGACTCCAGCCCGCCACGTGCGCCGGCGGCGGAGCGGGGGCCAGCCGGACAGACGGCGGACGGCGGGCTCAGGGGGCGGTCGGAGCGACTCCAGCCCGCCACGTGCGCCGGCGGCGGAGCGGGGGCCAGCCGGACAGACGGCGGGCGGCGGGTTCAGGGGGAGGTCGGAGCGACTCCAGCCCGCCACGTGCGCCGGCGGCGGAGCGGGGGCCAGCCGGACAGACGGCGGACGGCGGGCTCAGGGGGCGGTCGGAGCGACTCCAGCCCGCCACGTGCGCCGGCGGCGGAGCGGGGGCCAGCCGGACAGACGGCGGACGGCGGGCTCAGGGGGCGGCCGGTCGGAGCGGTATGGGGCGCGCGACGCTACGCAGAGGGAGGGCCACCAAAGGCAGCAGAACCCCCAGCTGAGCACCCCTCGCTGGTGGATTCTCCGCAGGCAGACATGATTCGTCCACGGCGGCGAGAAAACACGACCCTATGGCGGCCGGTTGTGCGATGCACTTCTACACGCCTGTAGATAATGCCCACACTGCAGATATTCGACGCATTGTTCCGGTTTGCGCGGTGTTACAGGTTCGAAAACCACACCTGATCCGATCCGATGAGCTCAGACCAAAGTAGTCCCCAAGGCCCATGCATACGGCGCTGCGTGGCAAAACGAGGTCACAGCAAATATACCCCTACTCAGTTATGCAGGGTTCCTACGTTCACCGACAGTCCACAGCGTTGATAAAATAACATGCACTGATACATGCTGAGGCTCTGCTTGCTTTCGATATGCAACTCGGAAGGCCTGGTCGAAACTGATTTTGCTCACATTTCGTAATTATCCTCACAATTCATCCAGAATTACAGCAATACAGGTTTTTAATACGTTAGATGGCAGACAACGATGCGATATCCTCGCCATTTTCCATTCAACCCACGCTTCTCCTTGATCCTCACCAGACATTTTACGGCAGCACACGGTATGTTTTATAAAAGTTTATTCAATCGAGGACCGGCGAAATCTACAGGCAAACGGGAGCATTATCTGTACACACTATGCTGTCAACTCAAAACAATTATTGCTATAAATAAGGTCACACAAGACAAACTTAAGTTGCAAGACGAGGTGCATTTTCATCCAATCGTATTGGAGCAATAAATGAGGGTTCGACCGGTATTTCAGTGATTCAGAGCGATCACAGAGGTAAAATCAAATTCATTCCCGCCGTTCCGTGACAAACCAAGATCCTCCCGAGGCGGGAAACGGGACGTGGACAACAGACATTGCCGGATCCGGGGTACAGAAGTCGCCGGTCCCAGTGGCTGCGGATTAACGTCATAGACTAGCTTTCAAAACCCAGCGATAGTATGATACAAACTGTACAAAATTTCCAAACGCCGACCGCCGGCCAAAGGCGAACTGGTCGCGCCGCGCGACGGTCCAGACCGGAACTACCACTGTGGCGGGAGCCGCCAGGCGGCGCGCGGCGCGGGTCAGTTGTTCTCGGGCACGTTTTTGACGGTGAGCGGGCCGTTGTTCTCGGCCGGCGCGGCCGGGCTCGGCTCAGGCCGGGGCAGCGGGCCGCCCAGCAGCGCGCAGTAGGCGAATCGGCGCGCGCAGGCCGAGCGGTACGCGTCGGCCGCCGCCACGCCGGCAGGTCCCAGCTCGCCGGCCTGCATCGCCGCCAACACGTCCCGACACATCTGACGGCGACAGGGGCCCGTTCAGCATAGCCAGTCATACTGCACAGCAAGTCCGCTCAGCACAGCTAACCATACCGCACAGCTCAGCACAGCCAGTCATGCTGCACGGCAGGCACGCTCTGTACAGCCCGTTATACTGCACGGTGGCCCGCTCAGTACAGCCAGTCATACTGCACGACAGGCACGCTCAGTACAGCCGGTCACACTGCACGGCGGCCCGCTCAGTACAGCCAGTCATACCGCACAGCACGCCCGCTCAGTACAGCCAGTCATACCGCACAGCACGCCCGCTCAGTACAGCCCGTCATACCGCACAGCAGGCCCGCTCCATACAGCTGATCATGCTACAAGGGGCGACAAAACTACCGGAGACACTAACCTGACAGAAGACAGTAACGCACTGCACAAGAACAACACCGCGCTCGGGACTACAGCGTCGCCGAGGGCACACGAACAAATCGGCATCGAGCGCGGTCAGTGCAGACGAAAGTACAGTCCAGCATGGCGTAAGAGAAGAAACATGACGGGAGGACGGCGTCAGGTCGACACAAGTAACGTTACGTGACGGGAGGGACGCGTTAGGTCGACACGAGGAACGTTACGTGACAGGAAGGAGGCATTAGGCCAACACAAGTAACGTTACGTTACAGGAGGGCGGCGTTAGGTCGACACGAGTAACGTTACGTGCTGCAGCGTTACAGTCAGAGCTTGCAAACTGCACAAGGACGGCCTCAATTAGGTGATGTTGCACATTCTGCTCCAAGAGGCGGCACAACTGCAAACACCAGAAGCATGCTGGATGAAAAATACGGCCAATCGGTCTGAGCAAACGTGGTCGACACTGAGTGATGCGCACGCAGGCAGACCGCGATCAATCAATGGTGGATGCAGTAAGAGAAAAGTGGCGTTATCCAATCACGCAAATTGGTGCAGCGATAGATGAGAAAAACGGGCGGGAACGCATCTGCGGGGCAGGTATGGTAAGCTGCAGCAGGCATGCACATTGCGTGCGTCGATATCAGTTCGACACAATACACGCACAATTCATCCTACAAGCTATGCTGTAAGAGGATGTGTATACATGTTAATTTACTGCACTTCCGTTGCTGCATGCCGGTTGTGCAACGAGGGCCCACATTCAGAGCACTTACGCCCTTACCTGCCACGTGCAGTTGGGAAAGGCGTCCGGGTTGCTGACCAGCTGGACAGCCTGCTCGTCCCTCCTCTGGTCCAAGAAATACGACATCCGGGCGCCTGCCGACCCGGCGGCGAGCGGTCAAACGGCAGCCCAGCGGCGCCCGCCGGCGTGCCGGGCGGCCACGTCAGCTGAGTACAGGTGACAGGACCGGCGCGCCGCGACAGTGGCGGGCGACGGCGTACCTCGCGAGCAACGCTGCGGTACCTCGCTCCAGCCGCGACGAGAGCGTTGATGCGCTCCGGCGGCGCTCCCGCCGACTCGCCAGAGGCTCCGGCAGTGTCCGCCCAGCCCGTCCGCTCCGTCCGTGTTCAACAGCCCCGCCAGCTCCTGCTTCATCTCCCACCCTGGACGTGACAGAGGACCCCTCCTTTCCCCCTCACCCCCTCCCCCCACGTCCCCCTGGCGCCTACCCTCGAGCACGTGCGCCAGCGAGTCGGGGTGCGCGGCCAGCAGTTGGTCGTTGAGCTGCTGGCAGGAGCGCTCGCCGTAGAGGGCGGGCGCCGCCTGCTCCACCACGGCGCGCACGGCCGGGCCCAGCTGCTGCTCCGCCAGGTGGCGGCGGAAGCGCACCAGCTGCGAGTGCAGCCGGCCGTTCTGCGGCTCGATGCCGTGCGCTCGCTTCAGCGCGCGCAGCATCAGCAGGATGCGACCTGACGGCAGCGGCGGCGGCACCGTCAGCACGGAGAGGGCCGGCAGAGCGCAGAGCACGCCAGCATGTCACATACGGCGCCAGCGGCGCGCAGCCATCGCCAGTGAGGCACACAACCACGGTAGTAGAGGGCAGACTCCACCAGCAGCCATCGTACAACACTGTCACCTCGCATTAACCATGCCCAGGGCACAGACAACTCAGTGTCACGTTGCCATGTCGACAGTGGGGACCGCAGGCGCACAAGGTCGGAAGAGCGACCGGCGATGAGCGACATGGTAAGTGGTCGGCAACGACAGGAGGTGGCGGCTTGGCCTGTACGGTACCGCAACGGCCTTGCTTCCACACCGCGAAACACGTCCGTGGCATGGAAGCAAGACACCCACAACCCACCACACTGCATACCGCAAGACACGTCCGTGGCCACCTACACCGCTCCACGCCGCGAGACACGTCTGTAGCCACCGATACTGTGAACAATGGGTGCCGACCGCCCCGTCCGCACTTCTGTCAGCGACAGACAGCACAATGGGCGCCGCTTCGACTCCCACACATCGCCGCGCTGCCGTTTGGCGGCCCCTCCGCTCGCAGTGCCCGACAGACGCCCGCTGCGCCGAGCCCGGCCGGGCCGGGCCGAGCCGAGCCGAAACAGCGCGCCGCAGCCCTCAGCCGCCGCTTACCTTTCCGGTAGTATATCTCGAACGCCATCAGATGTGTCTCTATCCGACTGCCGGCCAGCTGCAGCAGCGGCTGCAGCAGCTTGGTGGCCTCCTCCAGCGGCTGGGGCGTCTGCGAACAGAAGGGTCAGTATGATGTGGGGCGGTGACTCACAACACCGTGCCGGCGCTGGCCCGCGGCACCCGCCGTTTGGGCGCGACGGCCGCTCGGTCACACTCACCATCCGCGAGAAGATAGCGGTGCCAGATCAAGAACGTCACGTGGTGCGTCAAAAATACGGCAATTTACGCAGCACTGAGGTTCGCGAGCGGACCGGCAGAGCGGCGTGCTTCAATCGGCTAACGTACCACAAACGACACGTGTCCTACAGGCGCGAGCACTGAGCTCGCCAGCATGGACCAATGGACTAGTCCGGGGTTGCCTTGCCAACACTGCCGTGTCATTTCACCCGCTGAGTTCCTCTTCCCGATAATGCCTGGCCTCAACCGTCGGCTCATTGATGATCTCCCCCTTCCCCGACCCGAGCGAGAGGAGCCGCCGCCCCCGTACGCCAGGCACGCGCCACCCGCGACACCACGCAGCGTTAACGTGACGAAACCATGTAACGCCGCCGCACGCTACCACACAGCAAAAGTGCGTGCGCGGGTCACCACTTTCGCCCGGCCAGCGACGGCGGGCCGCCAGCCGAGGATCAAGGTCACGTGCGACGGCCGCTGGGGAGGCGACGGAGGGGGGGGGGGGGGGGCATCTCCGACGCGAGACTGCGACGTCGGCCGACCGCATCGCGGTTCAGGCAGCGGCTCGTCATGCCGTCTTGCCGCGCGGAGACCGGAGCGTCGCCGCAGCCGCCAGCGGTGGCGCGGCCCGGCGCGGCCGACCACGCCTGCGCGCGCGCGGGTGCAGGCGGCTGGGCGCGTTTGCAAGCAGTTAGCCAGGCGTGCAGGGCAAGCGTCGCTCGACTCCGTAAACAGGCCGAGGGAGAGGCCGGGCGGATCATGCACAACAGCGACACCCACGCGGAGTGGCGCCCGGCAGTTGGCCGCGGCGGGAGGGGGGGGGGGGGGGGGGGGGGGAGGGGGCGCCCGGCCTTGGCGACCGCGCCAGACCCGGACCGGCGTCAGGGTTAGGGATGGGCGCGCGCCGCCGATCGCACCCCACTAACTGTACCACGCGGGCTTGAGCGCAAGGGCAAACACGGCGGGCTGGGCGGGGCCGCGCCGCGCCACTCGCCCCCGGCCGCCCCCGACGCACGCTCCGGACAGCCAAGGCTGGCTGTGATGGCAGCGGCAGCCGCGGCGTCATCTGGAGCGGCGCCTCATTCAACGGGGGACTTCCTCAGCCGTGACGCAGCCCCGACGGCGCTACTCGCGCGGCGCTGCTCGGCGCCCTGCACGCTGTCAGGCCTCCAGGGCACTGCCGGCCAGACAAGGCTTCCCAGCGCGGTGATGCTGGCTCGACACGGGACGGGCTCCATTATGCGCAGCTGCCGACAGTCGATCCGATCTTCCAACGTAGCTGCAACTGCTGAACCAGTTTTCCTGGGCCATGTTGCCGGTGAACCAGGGCTTCCTAGCGCGGCGTCTGTCTCGCTGGCGTCCTGACGCCGGCGAAACCACTTCCTGCCGGTCCGCCCAGCAAGGAACCCCGCCGGTTCCCACGTCCTGGAGCGTAACCACGCCGCCTGCACGCCACGGCCACTCCGGCCGGCGGTGTGACGTCACCGGGGCGGGGTCGCCGCTGTTTACACCCTGTCCAGGGTGGTGAGCCGCCGGCCGCGCCGCGCCCGCCGGTGTCAGCGGTCCATTAGAGTTACGGCTGGCGTGGCGGCAAACCGCGCTCGCATGCGACGAAGGTCGGTCGCCACGGCAGCGGCCGGCAGCCGAGAGGCCGCGGCAGGCGAGCGACGCACGCGGACGCGGCACAGGGCGGCGGGAGGCCGCGGTGGGCGAGCGACGCACGCGGACGTGGCACAGGGCAGCGGGGAGGCCACGGTGGGCGAGCGACGCACGCGGACACGGCGCAGGGCAGCGGCGAGGCTCTAACAGACTATCGAGGGATTTGAAGAATTTTCAGGCGGCAAAGTTTCTCTTGACCATAATCCGTTCAACATCTGCTTCAGCTAGCATCGTGTTAGGTCACTTATTCGTTGCTTCAGCCGCTTTTACCGTGGACAGCTCTCAACAAGGGGCCTCACAGACAGCGATGGTATTCAAATGTATTCGCATTGCTCTGACGGTGCAATAAAACAAGCCCGAAGGTTATGCCGCCTAGTTTTGACACTGGGAAAACTTGTTTGGGCTGACTAAATACAAATGGTTTGCCCGAAACGGCAGTCTGGGAATACTGCCGTCACAAAGCAAAGCCTATGTTCCGAATACGGAGACTACATCAGGGCAAGTCACTTTGCTCCTTTCACAATCCGGATTCAGTGCAGAACTAAACACCAACCCGACCCCAAAAAGCAAAGAAGCAACTAAGGGGATTGGCTGCCCTACAATAAATTTGACGAAGCTCATTAAATTTTCACACTTTTATATTATGCTTCGTATATATATATATATATATATATATATATATATATATATATATATATATACGAAATCCTGAGACACGTGAGAATATACGCACAGAGAATATACACACATACGAAATCCTGTCCCGCGCGATGAGGAAGGGGATATATGATTCTCTGCAGACCACTGAAGCAGTTCGCGCACAGCATCGATGATGAGGATTGGAGTTTTGCGGCGCACTGACTACGGCGCACCATTTTGTGCCAAACGAAATCATTTAACATGTGATGAAAGGGATGCTTGAGGTCATGAATACTAAATGGCACGTGCCGTCGACTGCTTCCGCGAGTAGCGTCAGCGGAATGATGTCCCACTGCCCGAATGGTGCATGACGTGTCACGGCCATCGGTGGCATCGGGTAGCATGAACGCGACAGACATCAAGACAGATACGAGACGCGGTAGAGCAAGCGAACGAGAGAGAACACAGACAGGAGAGGTGAGAGAGAGCGTTTCCATCTCCCTCCCTCCTCTCTCTCTCTCTCTCTCTCTCCTCTCTCCTCTCCTCTCTCCTCTCCCTCTCCCTCTCCCTCTCCCTCTCCCTCTCCCTCTCCCTCTCCTCTCTCCTCTCCCTCTCCCTCTCCCTCTCCCTCTCCCTCTCTCCTCTCCTCTCCTCTCCCTCTCCCTCTCCCTCTCCTCTCCTCTCCCTCTCCCTCTCCCTCTCCCTCTCCCTCTCCCTCTCCCTCTCTCTCTCTCTCTCTCTCTCTCTCTCTCTCTCTCTCTCTCTCTCTCTCTCTCTCTCTCTCTCTCCGCCGTTGCAACACAGCGAGGCTGAGTCGCAGCCACATGCCGAATAGAATAGCGATGGCGTCGGCCGGCGCCTCCACCTGTCCGCCCCTCCGCTGACTGAGTGAGCCGCCCAGCCCCGCATCGCCGGGCGCGCGGCGGCCCTGATGCCGGCGCGTTCACACGACCGTTGCCGGCGCGATTGACGAGGCCGACCCCAGGCGCGTGACGCGGTCAGACGTGACACCGGCCGGCCCGGGTCGGCCCGTTGCCGGCGCGGGAGGCCCGGCCGCTCCGACCACGCCCCGCTGCCGGCCACAGGCCGCGGAGCCGAGTCTCGGCACGTCTCCGTAACGTCCCGGAAGTCTCGTGCCGGCCAGACTTCCTTTCGCACCCATTCTAGCAGCGCACGCGTCGCCGAATACAACAGAGGTGGTGCACCAGGAGCCCCGTCTGTCGGCATCACGACAGAGCAGGGAGACACCGCCCTCTGGCCGTCTCCGGCTCAGAGCGCGCCGGCAGCAAGGCGCCCGCAGTGTGCGCCAGCGACGCGCCAGGCGATCCCGCCCCGCCGCCTCCCGTCCCGACCCCGTGCACCGGGATCAGCTCCGTCCGCCCTCCCGCCGACCTACCTGCGCCAGCTTCTCAGGCTGCAGCTCGTCGTGTTTGCTCTCCTCCTGGTCGTCCTTGCGCTGGTTCTGCTGCTGCTGCTGCTTCTTGAGCAGCTCCTGTTGCTTGCGCTCCTGCTCCTGGCGCTCCTTCTTGCGAGCCTTGCGCTGCTGTGAGCGCAGCTTCTTCACCTCCTCGGGCGACAGGTTCTCTGCGGGAGGACGGGAGGACTCGGTCAGAGACTCGGCCGCTGCGCTCCTCGCCCGCCGGAGCGTGGGCGGCGCCCGCCAGACGAAGCTCGGTGGCCAACATTGAATGGGAGAACAGCTCCCCAAAACCCGTCAAACGAGCTCGGACAGTGGTGCGAATTCCGCGGGGTCCCGAAGCACCGCCGCGTGACGACTACATCCGAGCTTGCCTCGGAGCGTCCGTCACGACATTCCCGAGCCGGCCACCGCAGGCTCCACAGTTCAGCACACGATAGCCGCCCGTGATCTCAGGGTCTCGACATGTAGCTTCGTGACGAGCCGCCGTCCGGCCGCCACACAGGGCTGCCGTCCGGCCGCCACACAGAGCCGCCGTCCGGCTGCCACACAGAGCCACCGTCCGGGTGCCACACAGAGCTGCCGTCCGGCCGCCACACAGAGTCGCCCTCCGGCTGCCACACGGAGCTGCCGTCCGGCCGCCACACAGAGCTGCCGTCCGGCCGCCACACAGAGCCACCGTCCCGCCGCCACGCAGAGCCGTCGTCCGGTCCCCACACAGAGCCACCGCCCGGCCGACAGAGCCGCCAGCCCCGACGGCGGAACGGGAGGCGTCCCAGCACGCTGGACCTTCGCAATGGGAAGCAGCCACGTGAGCAACAATCGTCCCGAACTGTGGCCATTTCGAGCCAGGAAGTCGGGGCATGCGAGTTCTGGTGTATTGTGAGGAGAGTGACACTTCTCAGGTACTCAAGGCACGATAACCGACAGGGGCGGCATAAATGCACATCAAAACTGTTAGTCGGAGAGATATTGTACCTTGCATAGCTAAAAGCGCACCCGCCAAGCCCAGCTGGAGATGTTCAGAACTGGAACTAGGCTATGGCAGCAGATGACAGCACCACAAATTGAAGCCCGCAAGGATGTTGACATCTTTCAGCGACACTTCGGTTAGTACAACGCGGAGATCACTAACTCAACACCACGATGCTAACATCCTGATCACAATCCTGCATTCAACCAAAAATTATCCAACGTCACCAACCGCTCGTAGCAGGACACGGCGGCGAGCTCCCGGTATCCACTTTTGATCAGAGCAGCGACCGTTGACGTATGGCGCACTCATGGCGCACGGGAGCGTGACGGGGTGATCTTTACGTAACAGGCACCGTCGATAAATTCCAGCGCAGTGACGCGGCCGGCGGACGGGGTCGCCCAGAGCGGCTTACTCCAGCCAGCCCCGCGTGAGTCACCGATCCGGATCAGGCCCGTTTCCCAGAAACTCGGAAATGGCGTCAGTCCAGGAGTGTCGCTGGTAATGACGCCAGGCGACGAGAATCCCGGGGCGCGTCGCCGCACGCGGCTAATGCGCCGACCTGTCGCGTCGCCCCTGTCACCGTCTCCGGTGACGGCTCGGCGCCGGGCCGGCGGTCACGGGCGACCGCGGGTGAACCCGCCGAATGTCCGAACAGGAGCGACGGCGGGCGCGGCGGCGGCTGATGCCCGGACGCGTCCTCACCGCCGGCCGGCAGGCGACCGTGGCCCCAATCGCGCCTCCGTATTCAAACAATGCCGATCTTGTCAGAGGGGTGAGCTAGAGAGATGACCGAAATACGCCGCACGTCCTGTCACCGAAAGGGAAATCGTCGCTGTCTCTCCATGTCAGGGTTACGCCGACCACACATTCTGGGCATGCCGAAGATGTCCACCGTCTGAGTGCGGTGACACTCCTCGAGCGGCCATGACCGCGCTTCCCGTGTCCCGTGACACCTGGGCCCCGCGACACAGCGCTCTGGCGTGTCAGGCTGGCGTGTCAGGCGGTTCCAGGGCGGCCGGCTGACGCGGCGCTGGGTCACCCTTACGTCAGGGGGCGATGCCAGCGGGCCGATGCCATCTGGAGCCTGAACATACCTCAGGCAGTGAGTCAGCTCATGACCGCCTCTCCGCGGAAAGGCTCGCGCTTACACCAATCCAATTCCGTCCAAATCCAGCGATCGCAACTTGTTAGCCCGTCATGACGCAGTTACCTAGCGGGATGGGAAGATGCAGCCTTTGATATTCTCCGATGTAGCTTACAGCAATATCTTTGCATTTTGGAGGTAATAGGGTTTCAAGAGGAAAAAATGTTAAAACAATGGCCCGACGATGACAAAGCAAAGCTATTCTCAGACGACGGCCTTGGTTCACATCCTTGTTTACATCGCGTGATGTGATTTAACCAGGTTTACCCAAGTTCAATGCTATCAAGGCAGACTAATCATACCAAAAGCTTGGCAAATGCACAGGAAGTTGTCATCGCCACGATCCATTGGTTGCAGTGCACCGGAATGAATTGATAACCACATGGCCCCGGCATTGTCTGGGGTTCTCCGCCACCCCTGACGTGATCTGGGTGGAGGGGGGCACGTCAACTCATCAGCAGCAGCTGCCCCATAAGCCGCCGCCTTGGTGGACTGGCACGTGACGACCTCATCGTCGGGTTGAATAAATCAAACCGAGAACCCTCCGTCCACCGCACCTCGGAGTCGCCCAGCTGGCATTTGTCACAGTGATTGGTGACCCCAACAGGGGTGACGAAAGTGTAGCGGTCAAGCTGCGCGTCTGGGAAACCAGAGGTTCGGAGCCCGTTACCTCGAGCTACCCGCCCTGCATGCCAGGGTGAGAGGCGGGCGACGCCATACAGCCTCAGCAGCTGAGTGCGTCGTGACGCCCCAGTGGCGACGATGACCCCAGCAATCATAAACGCCGGTAAGCGCCCTGTCTCCAGAACCGTCGATCGGCCTGAATGTTCCTTAACACTCGTAATAATGATTTCATGGCATTGCAACCCGCACTAGAAGAGCGGGCACGTTCTTGGCTTTCAAGATAAGCCATCAAGTTAACAAGGGATCACTGTAAAGGTCAGGTCAGGTCAGGCCAGGTCAGGTCAAGTCAGGTCAGGTCATGGTAACGTCAGGTAAAGGTCACTTCTCGCCGGTTACGGGTTTCTTAGTCACCTGGTTCACGTGGCATATGTAAGCCATCGGCTTGGAAATGTTACAGTTACACCAACTTCTCTCATTGCGTCAAGAGCTATTTCGTTTCGGCATTTACCAGTTGGTCTGACGTGACCTACCTTGAAAACCTGGCATGATCTCATATGTATGACAGAACCCGACAGCTTTGCAGCCTCGCGTCGCAGCTCGATTAGCCACCACGACTCAATGGGTGACGCCCCCGCTAGGCAGCACAACCGCTATGGCCCGGCGAGAGCTGGGTCGCTCGGGAGCCGGCGCATCCCCGCCGACGTCCGCTGCACGCCGGAGGTGCAGCCGACGCCGGCCGCTCATCTCACGGGGACGGCGGCGCGGCGCGCTCGCGCGTGAGACGGCCGCCACGCTCCAGCGGCCGTGTCGTCCCCGGCGCGGTACGGCGCCGGAAGGACGCGCATCCGGCGGCACAGAACCGGTCCGGTGCGGCCGGTGTGGCGCGCCCCCGGAACCCCGTACTGGTCCGGAGGCTGGCGGCCGCTGGCCGGAGCGCGGGCGGCGAGCGGCGACGGCCGGTGACCTCAGGTCGGCGGCACCGAGCGGCGCCGGGAGGGAGGCGCCGCCGCCGACGGCGCCGGCGGCCGGCTCCGTCGCACGCTCCGGCCGGCGAGCGTCACGGTGAGCCACGGGTGCCGCCGACACGCCACCGGCCAGCGCGCGGACGTGGCGGCCGCGGGTCAGCGGGCCCAGCAGCCGGGGGAGGTCGCCCACCGCGGGTGTCGGGCCCGCGCACCTCCGTTATTCGCCGGACGTCGAGCGAAGCACTGCGCGTCCGTCCCGCGCCAAACGACACCCGGCGCCCCACGGTCTGAGTCACGGGCTGGCGTGAGAGCTGCCCGCACCTCGGCCACACCGTTCGAGCCAAACACGGGCCGCGGTCGGCCGGCCGGCTCGCCCACGCAGCCTACCCCGAAATGGAGCTGCTCCACTCGGGTCGAAGGGGTCAGAGTTCCCGCAACACGCTACGCTCGGTAAAAATTCTGATCTTCGCCAATCGCTGCAAAACGCTCGATTAAGCCTAAAACGAAAGCCGCGCCGGGGCGCCGAACTTCGCAGCAACGGGGTCGGACGGGGTGCGCAGCAGCCCACGCCGTCCCGGCGGCCCAGACACCTGCCTTATCCGGGGTCAGCCTCTGCACGACCCGGCGTGCGGCGCGCGCCTCAGCACGCCGGCACGCGGCGCCCCGCAGGCCACGCACGGACCGGGGTCCCAGCTGGACCGCAGAGACCCGTCCGCGAGCAGCCCATCACACCGACGGGTGACGGAGCAGCCGGCGGGTGACGCCGGCGTGACGCCAGACCTGCGAGCCGTCGCCCCGGCCACTGGCCACCACCGCAGCCCAGCCCGCGCGGGCCCCGCCGACCCCGCCCAGCCGGGCTTCGCACGGCAGGCCGACCGCCGCCGACCCGCGCCAGACGGCCGCCATTATCACCCGACACCGGCCATTATCACCCGGCCCCAGCACGGCTGGGTGATAATTACCGCCGTGACGATAGCTGGAGGTCTAAGAGAGTGCAAAGCGCGGTGGCAACACCCCGTCATGGCTACCGGGTGCGGGGCCAGGGCCGGGCTCACCGCTGGTCGTGATCGCGATGCGGATGTTCGACTGAAGAACGGGTCGATTAATGGCGGCAAGACGTCGGTCCCCACCGCGTCACGTACCAAAGGAACCGCACAGACCTCAGTGCCGGCCGCCGGTGGAGACATCTGTCCGGTGGACACGGCATCTGTCCCGCGGAAACGATACCCATCTGGTGAGCCGACACCCACCTGGCGAAATGACACCTGGCAGCGGACCAGCGGAAACGACGCATCCTGCAAAACGACACCCATCTGGCGAACCGATGCATGCCCGTGCGGGAACGGTACCTATTCGGCGAGAAGACACCATCTGGTAAACCGACACCTGGCAGCGGACCAGCGGAAACGACACATTCTGCAAAACGACACTCATGTGGTGGGCCGACACCCATCTGGC